AAGCCTGGTATGATAAACATGCCAGAGAGCGTTCCTTCAAAGTAGGAGACCAGGTCATGGTCTTAAAGGCGCTCCAGGCCCATAAAATGGAAGCATCGTGGGAAGGGCCATTCATGGTCCAGGAGCACCTGGGAGCTGTTAATTATCTCATAGCATTCCCCACCTCCAACCGGAAGCCTAAGGTGTACCATATTAATTCTCTAAAGCCCTTTTATTCCAGAGAATTAAAGGTTTGTCAGTTTACAGCCCAGGGAGGAGACGACGCTGAGTGGCCTGAAGGTGTTTACTACGAAGGGAAATGTGCTGGTGGTGTGGAAGAGGTGAACCTCTCCATGACCCTTGGGCGTATGCAGCGACAGCAGATCCAGGAGCTGTGCACTAGCTACGCGCCAACGTTCTCAGCCACCCCAGGACTGACTGAACGGGCATACCACTCCATTGACACAGGTAATGCTCACCCAATTAGGGTCCAACCTTACCGGGTGTCTCCTCAAGCTAAAACTGCTATAGAACGGGAGATCCAGGATATGTTACAGATGGGTGTAATCCACCCCTCTGGCAGTGCATGGGCATCTCCAGTGGTTCTAGTTCCCAAACCAGATGGGGAAATACGTTTTTGCGTGGACTACCGTAAGCTAAATGCTGTAACTCGCCCAGACAACTATCCAATGCCACGCACAGATGAACTATTAGAGAAACTGGGACGGGCCCAGTTCATCTCTACCTTGGACTTAACCAAGGGGTACTGGCAGGTACCGCTAGATGAATCTGCCAAGGAAAGGTCAGCCTTCGTCACACATCTCGGGCTGTATGAATTTACTCCCTTTCGGGCCGCGAAATGCACCCGCCACTTTCCAAAGACTTGTAGATGGTCTCCTAGCGGGATTAGGAGAATATGCAGTCGCCTACCTTGACGATGTGGCCATATTTTCGGATTCCTGGGCAGACCACCTGGAACATCTACAAAAAGTCCTTGAGCGCATAAGGGAGGCAGGACTAACTGTTAAGGCTAAGAAGTGTCAAATAGGCCTAAACAGAGTGACTTACCTTGGACACCAGGTGGGTCAAGGAACTATCAGCCCCCTACAGGCCAAAGTGGATGCTATCCAAAAGTGGCCTGTCCCAAAGTCAAAGAAACAGGTTCAATCCTTCTTAGGCTTGGCCGGTTATTACAGACGATTTGTACCGCACTACAGCCAAATCGCTGCCCCACTGACAGACCTAACCAAAAAGAAACAGCCAAATGCTGTTCAGTGGACCGAAAAGTGTCAGAAGGCCTTTAACAAGCTTAAAGCGACACTCATGTCTGACCCTGTACTAAGGGCCCCAGACTTTGACAAACCGTTCCTAGTAACCACAGATGCGTCCGAGCGTGGTGTGGGAGCAGTTTTAATGCAGAAAGAACCTGATCAAGAATTCCACCCTGTAGTGTTTCTCAGCAAAAAACTGTCTGAGAGGGAAAGCAACTGGTCAGTCACTGAAAAAGAATGTTACGCCATTGTCTACGCTCTGGAAAAGCTACGCCCATATGTTTGGGGACGGCGTTTCCACCTGCAAACCGACCATGTTGCACTGAAGTGGCTTCACACCGTCAAAGAAACTAACAAAAAACTTCTTCGGTGGAGTTTAGCTCTCCAAGATTTTGATTTCGACATCCAACACATCTCAGGAGCTTCTAACAAAGTGGCTGATGCACTCTCCCGTGAAAGTTTCCCAGAATCAACTGGTTAAAATCGTCCTTGAGATGTGGAAAATATTGTTAGTCTTTATGTACTTGGTAGTATATTTAGAGATGCATGTGTCTTATTAACTCTGTTTTCCTAGAGCTCCAGGAAGAAATCCCAGCCAGTGTTTCACCCTAGCTGAGATTTGGGGGCGTGTCATAAATATAAAGGGAAGGGTAAACCCCTTTGAAATCCCTCCTGGCCAGGGGAAAGCTCCTCTCACCTGTAAAGGGTTAAGAAGCTAAAGGTAACCTCGCTGGCACCTGACCAAAATGACCAATGAGGAGACAAGATACTTTCAAAAGCTGGGAGGAGGGAGAGAAACAAAGGGTCTGTGTCTCTCTGTATGCTGCTCTTGCCAGGGACAGAACAGGAATGGAGTCTTAGAACTTTTAGTAAGTAATCTAGCTAGGTATGTGTTAGATTATGATTTCTTTAAATGGCTGAGAAAAGCATTGTGCTGAATAGAATAACTATTTCTGTCTGTGTATCTTTTTTGTAACTTAAGGTTTTGCCTAGAGGGGTTCTCTATGTTTTTGAATCTAATTACCCTGTAAGATATCTACCATCCTGATTTTACAGGGGGGATTTCTTTATTTCTATTTACTTCTATTTTTTATTAAAAGTCTTCTTGTAAAAAACTGAATGCTTTTTCATTGTTTTCAGATCCAAGGGTTTGGGTCTGTGGTCACCTATGCAAATTGGTGAGGCTTTTTATCCAACATTTCCCAGGAAAGGGGGGGGGTGCAAGTGTTGGGAGGATTGTTCATTGTTCTTAAGATCCAAGGGTCTGGGTCTGTAGTCACCTAGGCAAATTGGTGAGGCTTTTTACCAAACCTTGTCCAGGAAGTGGGGTGCAGGGTTTTGGGAAGTATTTTGGGGGGAAAGACGCGTCCAAACAGCTCTTCCCCAGTAACCAGTATTAGTTTGGTGGTGGTAGCGGCCAGGCCAAGGACAACGGGGGGGATATTTTGTACCTTGGGGAAGTTTTGACCTAAGCTGGTAAAGATAAGCTTAGGAGGTTTTTCATGCAGGTCCCCACATCTGTACCCTAGAGTTCAGAGTGGGGGAGGAACCTTGACACATGTGTATAATACAAGCCAATGCTGCGGAGGACAAATAGTAATGTGCCTAATGTATTCTTGCAAGGACTAATCTAAACCGACAAGTGAAAATGAACTTAGTGTTTCTCTCACCCTATTTGTGTATGTCACAAAAAAGTCACAATTGACTTAAGAGAGGCCCAGACTGGGCACAGAAGATGCTGAGCATACTCGTAGGGGCACAGACAGGGCTACAGCATGGCAGGGAAGTCAATTTATTATTATTAATTATTATTATTATAGCTCGTTGGAGACACTTCGGAAGAACCACTTTCCACTGGAGAATGCAGCTCTGTTGAAACTGAAACGCTGTGTGAAATTGTGTCAATTTCATCAAAATTTTGGAGAACAAGCGGGAGGGGGGAAAATTCTAAAAATGCTGAAACATCCTTTTTGGACATTTTTTAACCAACTGTTTTCAATTTTTGTTTGAAATAATGAAGCCACATTTTGAAATCTTGAAATAGTTTGTGAAATGGAATTTCCACCTTCTGCACAGCTCTGTTAATTCTCCGTGTCCCAGGAGGACTTTGAGGCGCCCTCCAGGATGGGAGGGCTTTTGCAGGAGCTGCTGTACATGCTAATACACGGTCCCTGCCTCGAAGCGCTTACACGGGTGACGGACGGCGGAGCAGCTGATGCAACACGCGCACAGAGATCAGGGCACTGGGGGGAATGAGATGTTACTTCCACAGGGCAGGCAGGATTTTCTTGTGCTTCTCTAATACACACAAAGGGACACATAGAGGGGCATCCACATGCAGGCCTGAGCCTGCACAGCACAGCACACACCTCTGTTTACACCAGGGCCAGCGACACCCACCGCCCTCAACAACACCACCCCCGCCTCCTCCCCTGCCTCCACCCCGCCCCCTGCCATCAACCCCGCCCCTGCAACAGCCCCGCCCCCTCCCCTGCCTCCACCCCGCCCCCTCCATCAACCCCGCCCCCTGCAACAGCCCCGCCCCCCTCCCCTGCCTCCACCCCGCCCCCTGCCATCAACCCCGCCCCTGCAACAGCCCCGCCCCCTCCTCTGCCTCCACCCCGCCCCTACCATCAACCCCTCCCCTGCAACAGCCCCGCCCCCTCCCCTGCCTCCACCCCGCCCCCTGCCATCAACCCCGCCCCTGCAACAGCCCCGCCCCCTCCCCTGCCTCCACCCCGCCCCCTGCCATCAACCCCGCCCCTGCAACAGCCCCGCCCCCTCCTCTGCCTCTACCCCCGCCCCTACCATCAACCCCTCCCCTGCAACAGCCCCGCCCCCTCCCCTGCCTCCACCCCGCCCCCTGCCATCAACCCCGCCCCTGCAACAGCCCCGCCCCCTCCTCTGCCTCTACCCTGCCCCCTGCCATCAACCCCGCCCCTGCAACAGCCTCGCCCCCTCCTCTGCCTCTACCCCGCCCCCATCAACCCCGCCCCTGCAACAGCCCCGCCCCCTCCTCTGCCTCCACCCCGCCCCCATCAACCTCTCCCCTGCAACAGCCCCACCCCCTCCCCTGCCTCCACCCCCCGCCCCCATCAACCCCGCCCCTGCAACAGCCCCGCTCCCTCCTCTGCCTCCACCCCGCCCCCTGCCATCAACCCTGCCCCTGCAACAGCCCCGCCCCCTCCCCTGCCTCCTCCCCCGGCCCCATCAACCCCGCCCCTGCAACAGCCCCGCCCCCTCCCCTGCCTCCACCCCCGGCCCCATCAACCCCGCCCCTGCAACAGCCCCGCCCCCTCCCCTGCCTCCTCCCCCGCCCCATCAACCCCTCCCCTGCAACAGCCCCGCCCCCTCCTCTGCCTCCACCCCCGCCCCCTGCCATCAACCCCGCCCCTGCAACAGCCCCCGCCCCCCTCCCCTGCCTCCACCCCGCCCCCCATCAACCCCCTCCCCTGCAACAGCCCCGCCCCCTCCCCTGCCTCCACCCCGCCCCCCCCCTGCCATCAACCCCGCCCCCTCCCCTGCCTCCTCCCCCCGCCCCCTGCCATCAACCCCGCCCCTGCAACAGCCCCGCCCCCTCCTCTGCCTCCACCCCGCCCCCCATCAACCCCTCCCCTGCAACAGCCCCGCCCCCGGCCCCCCCTCCCTGGGGGCTCCTCGGCCAATGATTCTCGCACCTTCGGTGCTAGGCTGGTTGGGGGCGGCCCCGCGCGGCGCATGCCGGGATCTCTCCCCCTCCCCCCACTCGCCCTTCTCCGTCACGTGAGCGCCGCGCGTGTCACGTGATTCGCAGCGGCCGGTCCCCCAGTCCCCGGGAGCGAGCCGGGTCCGCGGCCGCCGCCATGTCGAGCTTCCCCGAGCTCTACTTCAACGTGGACAGCGGCTACCTGGAGGGGCTGGTGCGGGGCTTCAAGGCTGGCGTGCTGAGCCAGGGCGACTACGTGAACCTGGTGCAGTGCGAGAGCCTGGAGGGTGAGTCCCGGCCCCGGCCCCGGCCCCGGCCTCTCCCCGCTGGGCCCGGCCTCTCCCCGGCCCCGGCCCCGGCCCCGGCCCGGCCCCCAAGTCGCTGCGGCCGGCGGGTCTGTGCGGGGGCGCCCCGGGCAGCGGCTCTCTGCCGGGGGCCGATCCGGGCCACCAGCCGCGGCTGTGCCGTAATCCAGCCGCGCTCCCCGCCCCAAGACACGGGCCCGGCGAGGGGCGGGGGCTGCTCTGCGGCACGGCCTGTGCCCGGGGAGGGCAGGCCCCCGCCCGAAAGGACACCGGCTCCAGAGAGGTGGGGGGCAGGAGTGGCCTTCACCCTCCAGCGGGGGCTGGGGCAGGCAAGGCGGGTAAGGCCCTTGCTCTTTTAGCCTGCAGAAGAGAAGAATGAGGGGGGATTTGATAGCTGCTTTCAACTACCTGAAAGGGGGTTCCAAAGAGGATGGATCTAGACTGTTCTCAATGGTAGCAGATGACAGAACGAGGAGTAATGGTCTCAAGTTGCAGTGGGGGAGGTTTAGGTTGGATATTAGGAAAAACTTTTTCACTAAGAGGGTGGTGAAACACTGGAATGCGTTACCTAGGGAGGTGGTAGAATCTCCTTCCTTAGAGGTTTTTAAGGTCAGGCTTGACAAAGCCCGGGCTGGGATGATTTAACTGGGAATTGGTCCTGCTTCGAGCAGGGGGTTGGACTAGATGACCTTCTGGGGTCCCTTCCAACCCTGATATTCTATGATTCTTCACCCTTCGCCTAACCCAAGAGCAAGGGGCCTTCGCAGAAACTGAAAGGAGCAGATTTTATAGCTCACCAAAGGCCACACTTGCTGTGCAGTTAACCACTGGAACTCGCTATTAGATATTGGAGACCAAACGCTTAACTGGAGCTTAAGAGCATAGGATATTTACAGTGCTGGGTTTACAATGGAGCCGGGCCCATGCTCAGAAGGGGCCCCAGCCTGCTCTGCTTGTACCCCGCCAACCCACCCACCAGTTGCTTCTCTCGGCCTGCCCACTGAGGGCTCCTCTTCACCCCCTGGCCCCACTCGCCGGCTTCTCTCTGCCCCCTGGCCGGACCCCAGGGCACCTCTGGCTCTGGGCAGTCTCTGCTTCCCACCACCTGTGGGGGCCCCCACCTGTCTCCCCGGAGCTGAGCCGCCTGGGACAGGTGCAGAAGCCTGGCCAATTGTGTGGGGGGCTTGACTGGGCCCTTTCAGGCAAGTGGGTCTTGAGGGAGCCTGGCCATTGCAGGCCCTGGCCTGGCTGATCGTACCACTCCTGAGGGGCCGGAGCAATTACCTGCCCCGGGATCAGCCCTGGCTGCACTGGCAGCTCAGCTTGGCAGACTGTTGCCTCCCAGCAGGGCTGGTGAGTGAGGCCGGGAGGCAGGGCTTGGGGGAGTGGGTCTTTGGAGGGCCTGTGGGGGTGCTGCTGGGCTGTGACGGGGTGGGGAAGGTGTGTGGGGGGGCAGTAGGGAGTGGGGGTTCTGTGTGGCGTGCTGGGCAGTTGTGGTGGGGGCTGTGGGCAGGGGTGCGCTGGGCAGGGGTGGTGTTGTCCAGGGCACTGTGCGTTTGTGGCAGGGGTCTGGGGGGGGCGCTGGGCATCCTGGGTCCGGGAGGGGTCTGGCCACAGGGAATTGGAGGGCTGTTCCAGTGTTGGGTGGAGTGCTCTGTGGCGTGGCATGGGCCCACTCCCAAGGGGAAGGGGCATCTGGTAGCACTGGGCTGGGCGGGCCACTGTGCATCTGGCAACTGCCGGTTTGTAAATAGTGTCCTCACACTGTGCTGGGCGGAGCAGGGCTACCCCTGCCATGCCCCTGGCCAGCCGCTTGCTCCAGGGACTGACCCCCCTGCACCATGCTCCACTGCCCCCATGGGAGCCCACAAATATGGTGGGTGCTGGGCCCACAAAAGGTTAATCCAACTTGTCTGCATGGGGAGGTTATTCTGGAATCAGGTACTGTGAATTCAAAGCACTATCGCTATTCCAGAACTAGGGTACAGTAGTTTATTGCAGTCAGTTTTTTAAGTAGACAAGCCCTAACTGGTAGAAATGAAGAAGAACCTTTCTGTGGGAGTAGGTTATCCCACCGCTGCCTTTGGCTGGATGTTTGTACCTTCCTCTCAAGCAGTTAGTTTGGTCGCTGTTGGAGGCAGAATAATGGAGTAGATGAACCACTGGTTGGATCCAGTCTGGAAATTCCTATGTTCATGTGAAGCCCTAAAAGCTGGAAAAGCATTCACTGAGTTGCTAGTGTGTACTGTTCTTTCTCAGATTGACCTGTTTCTTATTGTCTTGGGTGCTCGTTAGGCCTGGTCTCTCAAATATGTCTTCCAACATTTCACACGCTTCCATCCTGTTTCACACCTAGTCAGTTGGCGTTCTTCTGTGTGTGTGTGCCTGATTTGAATAAGGTTAATATTAGAACTATTTAATGTAACCTTAGTTGTGATTTGCTTAGGTTTTAATATGTTTTTAATTATGCGTAATGATATATCTTGTTCTGAACTGCATTTAGCAACCTGAACTACCAGTATTGAGGGCTCTTGTATGTGAATTTACTAGCTTTAAAAAAGGAATCCTGAAAGTTAAAATCAGGCAAGTGTATGTTAAAAATGCTCTGAGCATGTGAAGTTTTATACAGTACTAGGTATTGAGCATTTAACACAGAAAGCTGTTTACTGTATACAAGCTTTCTGTGGCAGAGGAGTTTGTCCTGAAGAGTTTTTAATACCTTTTCCTGCAGAGAGGTGTGTGGAGGTTTTTCAGGTGACTCGGTGATAGGGTTCTCGGAAGTAAAGGGGAGTTACATACTAAAAGGTACTGGAATCTGGAATCACCTGAGGTACGGTGTACATTTTAATTTTTAATCCCCCTGCAGTGGGGCAGTTGCCCCACACCAGGAAGAGGAAGGGTTAAAGAAAGCCAGAGGGAGCCTGTGCAGAACCCTCCCATTAGAGGAGGGCTCACTAAGCGAGCCCATCCGGAGGTGGCTTGTTGCAGCGGACAGGCAGGGTCAGCAGGAGCCATATATAAAGGGCTGCTCAACAGAGCAGAAGGCAGTCTCTCCCTGGCCGCCTAGGAGCACCATGGCTAGAGCCGTGCTGGGCAGTGTAGCAGAGCAGAAGGAGCTTCTGGCTGACCGCTGCCAGACTGAGGCCCTGGAGGAAGGGCAGATAAGGTGCTAGGGCTGCTCCCACTTGCCCTGAGGGAAGTGGCCTACACAGACTACAGTTTAGTCCCTTGCCCCAGGGACAGACTGGTGACTGCAGCAGGCCACTGAGGCAAGTGGCTGGATTATAGACTGCTGGGTCCCCTGAAAGCAGGGGAGACAGCGGAGTGGGGCATAGTCGGAGGGCTGTACCCAGAAGAGGACGCCGTGGTCCAAGAGTGGTGGAGACAGCAAAGCGGGAGTAGACACCAAGTAGGCAAGCGAGACGCCACCGGAGGAGGGCGCCTTGTGGAAGGACTTGAGATAATTCCAGAACGGCCAGCAGGAGGTGTTGCGGTAGGGAGTCTCGCTCCACTACTACACCCCCTTTCTACACAGTCCTTTTCCTTTGTGAAGCTGGAAAGCATCTGGTCCGCTTCACTCTGCTTGGGGTGAAGCTGGGGAGGATGACTCAGAAATGAAGAACGTGTGGGGAGAAGACCCCTTTTGCGGTAGCCAGGAGTGTTTGGGTGGGTGGGAGAAGGTGGAGAGAGAATGCATCTTCCCAGTATCAATCAGGTTGTTTGGGAAGTGAATTTTGCAGCACGCTCCTACTCAGACTCTGAGCAGCTGGAAGCTGATACAATACACAGATCCTCTGAACAGGTCTAGGAGCAGCACTCTGAAAGGAATCCCAGCAGCTCGGGAAGGTTGGCATCTTGCTTGGCTGATACCCTGTCTGTGGGGGTGAGGGGGTTGGTATCTCTTGTATTGCTCTTGGCTAGCAGCCCTAGTTGAACTCTTATATCATGGAGTCTTTAAAATGAGATTCAGTATCTTTCTACAAGACCTGCCTTATTCCAGCTTCTGGGGAAAATTCTACAGCTTGCATATCCAGGAAATCAGTTTAGATGATCCTAGTTTAGACTGGGCCAAAAGAAATCTGATGAGGTTCAACAAGGACAAGTGCAGAGTCCTGCACTTAGGACGGAAGAATCCAATGCACCGCTTCAGGCTGGGGACCGAATGGCTAGGCAGCAGTTCTGCAGAGAAGGACCTAGGGGTGACAGTGGACGAGAAGCTGGATATGAGTCAACAGTGTGCCCTTGTTGCCAAGAAGGCCAATGGCATTTTGGGGTGTATAAGGAGGGGCATTGCCAGCAGATCGAGGGACGTGATCGTTCCCCTTTATTCGACATTGGTGAGGCCTCATCTGGAGTACTGAGTCCAGTTTTGGGTCCCACACTACAAGAAGGATGTGGAGAAATTGGAAAGAGTCCAGCGAAGGGCAACAAAAATGATTAGGGGACTGGAACACGTGAGTTATGAGGAGAGGCTGAGGGAACTGGGATTGTTTAGTCTACAGAGGAGAAGAATGAGGGGGGATTTGATAGCTGCTTTCAACTACCTGAAAGGTGGATCCAAAGAGGATGGATCTAGACTATTCTCAGTGATAGCAGATGACAGGACAAGGAGTAATGGTCTCAAGTTGCAGTGGGGGAGGTTTAGATTGGATATTAGGAAAAACTTTTTCACTAGGAGGGTGGTGAAACACTGGAATGCGTTCCCTAGGGAGGTGGTGGAATCCCCTTCCTTCGAAGTTTTTAAGGTCAAGCTTGAGAAAGCCCTGGCTGGGATGATTTAGTTGGGGATTGGTCCTGCTCTGGGCAGGGGGTTGGACTAGATGACCTCCAGAGGTCCCTTCCAACTCTGATATTCTATGATTCTAGTGGTTTCTTCAGGCCTTGGTGTCTGTGAAGTTGGGAAGGAAAAACAGAAGAGAAAAGCTAGGATGGTGCAATAAGTGGGACTTTTTGAGTATTTGTCAAATACTTCCCCAGTGTCT